ATATCTTTTTTCAATCAAAATATTTTAAGAAACAAATATAATTTAATTATAAATATATAAACAGTTATTATTTAGGTACATTAACAAAAATCACCTTCTTAACAGCAATTAAGGGACATAAAGGGCCAGTGCTACCGCTTTCATGTTCAAAATATTCTAATAAAGTTGCGAAAAGTCTTTTACGGCTATTAATCTTGTACGCTTCGCACAAAAGGTTCTAAAAAGAACAATGTTCAACTGCAAGGTTTGCTGGTAAAAATGTTTAAGCTTAAAGTATCACAACTCATTTAAACCAAAAACTGGATAAACAAAACTAAAATGTCAAAACGAATGACAGTGTCGGGAAATAAATAAATAAATGTGGCAACTTGACATTTTTACAGCAGAGCTACCACCTGAATCCCCAGCGGGAAATTTAAATTTCCATTAGTCAAACCGGTGCCGAATATGTTCAGGATTGGCAAGGATGAATTTAAAAATCGCGCCATCGATTACGTTCTTAAAAGGTTAATTATTGATATCAAATATAGGAAATTTTTTGTCATTAGAGAGCAACTGTAAATTTGAAATTTGACATTATTAAGTTCTCTAAAGTTTTATATTTAATGACTTGTTCATCGGTACACTCACGTTTACGATAACGTAAACGAATTAGTAGATTTTGTTAAATAGTCGTCTTCCATTATATCTGGAACAATTGGTCAAAATAGCCCGCACATTCCGACCGCCTAACAATCACCGCATTCCAACGGCCAATATCGACGTGCAAAAAGCGCATACAAAGGCCCTATTAGCGCCCTGAAAGGGGCCAAACACGATCGGCACGTGAACGGGGCGCCGTATATCGCGCGCGTCTTTGTTCGCATCCAGAAACAAACTCCGCCAGATGATGTACGACCGCGCAAATTTAAATTTATAGCTCTTTTGTGCCGCTAGAAAGATGGCCATAGTCAGTACCGTTGCTTTAGGCCTATAAATTTAGGATTAACTACGAATACGCGTTTTTATGCCGGTTAAAATATGTGTAAAATTCAGACAAAACCCATTTAAAATACCGAGGTTTTGAGAAAATTCATGAATGGAAATTGCTGAAAAAATGTTAATACGAAAAGGAGGGCATAATTCCGTGGTTGTTAGGTGCAATAACACTCTATACAACTCTCCAGGAACAACATTTTATAGCCTCCCAGCTTTATCACACAGATTTGATCAAAAGCAAAAATAGATTTAGGCAGTTGGGTGAAACAAGTGAGTAGAATGTGGAATGTATGGGACGCGGAGTTAATCACCGCAACCTTAGATATCTATTGTGTCCCTCTCTATTGAGTTTATCATATGTCATATACTATACATACCGCCAATACTCGCTGACGAGTATTCGACACGCATCAGAAGAAGGTCACGCAAGGCGTTTTCTTTCATGAGCTTTTCTGTGACTGAAAAGCCCGATACGTGATGTTATCTGCCTACCGCACTCCGGACATTCAAAAATCTCATTGCTTTGTTGCCTCTTTACTTTTTGGTTGTCGCTGTTAACTGAGTTTACAATTCTTTCCTATTGAGTTCTATTGTAAGCTGCTTCTTCCCACTCATTCTGCATGTTAATCCCCTTTAGGTTTTCGTGGAAAATGCCCTTGCACCTTTTCAGTTGTCCACTCGGCCTCCTCTCACCGTCTACAAGCTCACCGTAAAGCAGAGATTTTGGTATGAGGTTTTCTTGCATTTTGCATTAGTAATAGCCCATATTAAGCGGGATTTTCTAACCATGACTTCAATTCTTTCGCAGTTAGCTTCTTCAAGGACCGATACGTTTGAGACATGATGGAACCACCGGATTCTTAAGAGTTGTCTAAGGTGTCTTTTTAATGAGGTTTAACTATTAGATAAAATGGGTAAACAAAGTCCGCATAACATAATCAAAAATTAAATAGGTATATATACTATGAGGATAAAATATAATTTCATTGATATTAATGGTATACTTTTTTAATCAACTAGTGCTTACATTTTTTATGAACGTCTTTGTTGAACTTTGGAATATAACGAACCCCAGTTATATTCCAACGGCATAATCAGCGCGTAAAACTATACAAAACTATGCTTCATACCGGTAGTTGAAGCAGCCGGTGTGTTATTTCTCATTTAAAAAGTTTTATTAGATTAAATAATAAACTACAATACCCGTTATTCCGAAGATATCAAAAGATTTTACTGTTTATTTTTTTCCAAATCTCCCAAGTTGCACTTACTAATAGAGTAGTGAGAGCAGGTTGATTCACATTATGACGAACACAGTGTGGAATTAAATTTCTATATCAGCAGTTCAAGGCAAGAATCTTATATATAATTTATTACTTATTAATAGATACATACCGTGCTAGCAACTCTTACTTTTGGGTCTGTATTTACATGTGTGCAAATAAATCGCATAGGGATCATATTAAGTCCGAGTGAGAGAAATGCGACGGTGTGCTGTGGCGGTGTTGTCACATTTCTCCGGTACCCTTTCCCTATCAAGTAAAGTAAAATCACGATCGTAAACCGCTTATTTTTAAAGGACTTTTTTTCGAACAGATAACTAGATAAAATCATTAGATTTGTTTATGAGCATCTGAAATGGAATTATAAGGATATCGTTAGGGTGTCAATTTTTTTATAACGAGAAAACGTCAGTAATCGCGATAATTTAAAAACTCAACTTTTTAACACATAACACGCGATAATCAAGAACCACTTTAGATATAGAAACTTTTTTATTTTGAAGCTCGGATCTTTTAGAAGATATTTAAATAAGAAAATTTCGATAGGCTTGTTTTTTTTCCATTCAAAAATTAAAAAAAAAACATTCGTTTACTTTTAGTGCATAGCAATTTTTAGCAATCGTGTAACTTTCATATACTGTCTGTGAAGAAAATATAGCAGACATATTCAGAATATTTAAAAAAAACTACAATCAATTATTTCTAATGGATTTCAAGATATCGATTTTTGAATTCAGAGTTCTAATAACGCGACCACTGTCGAACACCAACTCAATTCCATTATTTTTACCAAAAGTGCAGGTGTTTCTAACGTCCACTTAAAAATTTAACAAATTACAACGACTCGTTAACAACAAATAAAGTATCGCGAGAGGTAATTAAATCGTGAAGCTGAACGCATGATGTACAGCCTTCCCTAGAATTTTAAGTAAACATTTTTAAGTTAACTTTTTTTAAGTATTGATTAGTCGACCGCGACGAATCTGCTATATCCCCTTTCACGTCTCTTAGCAATCTACAGGGTGGGTCAAATTGGACGTTTTTAAAGGGAAACTCCCTTTTCTATAGGAGATAGACGAAAACTAATATCAGTGTCTGGAGCTCAATTTTTGTCAAAAACATGATGGTGTAAACCGCATATCGATATCTGTTACCGTTTCGGAGTTACGGGGTTTTTCAAAAAAGTGCATTTTTAACAAATCGCTGTAACTTTTTTGCTATGGAAAATTTATATTTCTATAAAAACATTTCCAAAGCACCTTTTTACGTAGAATTTAATGGTTTAAGTATAATTTTTTTAAAATTAATAATTTAAGAATTATCAACAGAAAATTTGACTTTTTATATGGGACACCCTGTATATTTTTAATTTATTGAAAATAATTTAAAATTACCTTTCCAAAACTATAACACACTTGATATTTTGCTCGATTCCTCTTCGAGATATAGAGTATATAAACATTCGCCCGCTTTAAATTAGTAGGCTTTGAATGGCACCGGCTGCGGCTGTAATGCAAAAAAATTCTAGCTGTGAGCATCAATTAAAACGAAAATAGTATTTGCTATGAGAGATGCAGAATTTTATAACAATTTAAAATATATTTAACCAACATCAACACATTTAAACTATATCTGATAACAATAAAAATAAATAGCAAACCAAGACATGAGATTTTGCTACAGGTGTTCGACATATCGACCGTCTTTTGTTATGGACAGACGGGGCAGTTTCTGAACATTTTTCGCGGAATTCATTAACTCAGTGGGGGTGAAAGATACCCTCTCATACAGTATTTCAAATTCTTGTCTAGATTATCCGCAAATATATCCATAGGATTAGATCCATGGGCACTAAGTCAGGCGGCCTCAACGGCCAACGGCTGGGATCTTGGTTAGCTATTCAATTATTCTTGAAATTGGCTGCAAAAATTTGCTGATAGCGTCAGCGTTCTGAGGCTGTGCGTCGTCTTGCTGGAAAATATGTTTTCGAGTTCCATTAAGGGCATATCATCAATAAGGGTTCCAAAGCCTACTAGTTAAAAGTGGCGAACTCCTAAAAATTCTGTATTTCGAAGGGGATTATAACAAAATATCAAGTGTGCTATATTTTTAGAAAGGTAATTTTAAATTCTTTTCAGCTAATTAAAAATATAGAGGTCCCAAATAAAAAATCAATTTTTCTGTTCATAACTCTTAAATTATTTAAAAAAAAATATACTTAAACCATTAAATTCTTCGTAAAAAGGCGCTATGGAAATGTTTTCATAGAAATACAAAATTTTCCATAGCAAAACAGTTACAGCGATTTGTTAAAATTGCACATTTTCGATAAACACCCCGTAACTCCGAAACGGTAACAGATATTGATGTGCGGTTATACCATTATGTTTTTGATGAAAATTGAGCTCCAGACACCGATATTAGTTTTCGTCTATCTACTATAGAAAAGGGTGTTTCCATTTAAAAGCGTCGAATTTGACCCACCCTGTACACAGTTTCTCGGTTTATTTCACACGTTTGGCACCGTTTTTACTGCTCACTCTTTGTTCAGTACATTATAAACGCATTGTACTCTTCTTACATACGAAAATCTCGACCCAAAAGTAACCTTTGTTAGCCCTTAGTATATAAGTTAATGAAAATCGGGAACTACTGAAGTGACGTCAATTTGAACTACTTGTCAAAACAATTATGCTGGATTCAGAGTTCCGTAGCCGTAAGACGTAGGCCGTATCGATAGCCGTAAGACGTAAGGCATTTAAAGAATCGATTCATAGCTGCCGTAAGACGTAACGATATATTTACCGTAGGCATGCGCGTTGGTTTCTATCGGATTCTGCATGTCTTGTCAATTCTCTTCTGTGGTATTGGTATTGTCATTTGTCATTTTCCATTTTCCACGTGTCTATACTGTCTATTAATTATCTATTATCTTTGTGCTTCTCATATTCACTTGGCGTAGTATTTTATAAAATTTACCAGTTTGTTTTAAGTCCTACTAAAATGGATATCGATAGTGTTATTGTAGCAGGAGTTCTATTCTGCTACTTAATTTCTAAAAATCGCCGTAAAAAGCGGCTTGTTAAAACAAGGAAGATAAATACAGAAAGAGCCACAAAGGGCTTTTATAGAGCATATTTTCTTCCCATGAAGGCGAATGATCCTGGGCAGTTCCATAAATATACGAGGATGTCGGTGAAGGCATTCAACAATTTATTGAATATGTTGATGCCATATTTAAAAAGGAGGATATCTGATGGTATTAACGCAGAAGAACGCCTGGCCATAACTTTACAGTAAGTATATTTTAATTTAAGTTAAAAACTATATAATGTATACATTTGTCCTCGTATATATATGGAATTCTTTTTATTTTCAGCTACTTTTCTCAAGGAACGACAATGCAAACAATTGCCTGGAAATACCATGTAGGTCACTCTACTGTCCACTACATAATCAAAGAGACCAGTGTAGCCATTTGGGAAGTATTATCCAGTCAATATTTAAGACCCCCAGCTTCACAGGAAGATTGGCTAAAGATAGCAGAAGAATTTGAGAGGGAGTGGAATTTCCCTCATTGTATAAGGGCACTGGACGGGAAACACGTTAAGATCCAGGCCCGGGCAAAAAGTGGCAGTCTTTTTTTTTAATTATAAAAAAACTTTTAGCATTGTGTTAATGGCGTGTTGTGATGCAAAATATAATTTCACTTTAGTTGACATTGGTGCGTATGGAAGTGAAAGTGATGGTAGTATATTTAGCAGTTTTGCATTTGGGACGCTTATAGACAATAATAAATTGTATTTACCCAATCCAAAACGTTTAGCCAACAGTGAAATTATCCATCCATATACATTTGTTGCTGATAAAGCCTTTCCGTTAAAATTCTACATATTAAGGCCCTACCCTGGGCGAAATTTGGAAGACGATAAACGTATTTTCAATTACAGGCTCACACGAGCCCGCAGGTGCATTGAAAACAGTTTCGGAATTTTAGTCAACCGGTGGAGACTATTAAGAAATGCAATAACTGCCGATGTAAATAATATAGACTTATTTGTCAAGGTAATGGTATGTCTACATAATTATTGCAATAAGGAAACTGCAGCGGATACATATCCAGAGTTGATGGATGTAGAGACTCCTGAAGAGGTGCAGCCCCTTAAATCTGTGGGAAGATTGGCTGCACACAGATTTTCCCGAATATTATATGATATGAGGGACAATTTAAAAAATTATTTTGTTTCGCCAGCTGGCGAAGTGCCTTGGCAAAATAATATTTTAAATGAAGGACTTATTGAATAAATGTGTTGGAAATTATATTATATTGTTTTATTTCTTTTAGTGGACTACTATTAAAAATATTATAAAATAAAAAAAATGGCGTCAGAAACTACTTCAAAATGAAGACCGCTGTCATTTCAAAGCTAACTGGACGCCATTTTTTACTCGATCATATTTACTGTAGGTGTAGTAAAAAAATAGTACCGTGTGATCGAAAAAAACGGCGTCCAGTTGGCTTGGAAATGAACATCGTTGACATTCCCCATATAATTTTACATATAAAATGACAGCGATCTTCATTTCATAGCCATCGCTGACGCCGTTTTTATTCGATCATACGGTATACACATGTATGATCAACTGGCCTTTGAGGCAAAAAAGAACAATGAAATTTCACAATTATTAACCATACAAAGCATGCTTAATCATATTCTCTCTATGGGTGGAATAATATACACATTCATAAAATATTATAACTTTATTCGTTATAAGTTTCATTTAAAATCTCTACAATTTTCAATTTTTTGTGATTTTGTTCGCGCAGTGGCATGTCGGCTAATGTTAGCCCGACATATTGTCCAAAACTTAAATTTTTATCCACCACTGATTTTTCTTTAATGTAATTTTGTAATAATGTTAATGTATCATCAACGGCATTCTTTGAGGTGGTCAACTTCCTCTTTACTCCTTTGGAGGTTGACGGTCCTGGTTGCGGTGTGGTGGCTTGACTTGATGCCGTAGCAGCTGTTGCTTCGGCATGAGGTGCTGTACCTGTCTCGTCATTACCTGCCTCGTCATCTTCATACACTTCTATCGGCGTGTCCCATATGTTTTGAGATGACAGTGGGGACACAAGTGGCTCTGTGCCACTTGACGATGAAGACAACCGCCCCAAATTTGAAACTCGTCTAAAATAGATTTAAATATGTAAATAAATAAAAAAAACTCATAATATTTTATTGAATGATCGTAAAAATATAAATGTGTCTCAATTATTTTTTACATTAAAATGCATGAAAACTTACTTTCTGGACAACATGTGTTTATCCATAAACCGCATTAGATCATAGAGGAGCCACACCGAATCAGGGGCCCCTGACCCTGATGGCATATTTCGGATCTGTTTCCTTTCTTTGTCATACCTCTCCCGCAGATTCCTCCATACTCGCTGAATATCCTCAACTACAATTATAAAACACATTTACAATAAAAACTTTACCAAAACTTTAATAAACTGAATTGACTTACCAGAGGTGGTCAATGCTGCGGCGATGTCCCACGCATTGTTGCGAATATTATTATTCTTATACTCCTTCTTGCTTTTGTCGTACAAGTACGGAAAGTTCTGAATCAAATCAATTAATAATGCTTCCTGAGACATGATTAAAAGTGAAATTAAAAATGGAAGTAAAATTATTAAAAATGCACGTGGACGATACAAACGACACAAAGACTCGAAGTGAAATGAATAGAAAATGGATGCCAAACGCCAAACGCCAAATATCTTTGACATATCTCCAGTCCCTCCAACTTATCAGGCGGTCAACGTTACAAACCCAAAATAACCACACCGATTAATCCGAAAATAGCCGACCAAACACGAATCGATAAGACGTAACGTAAGAATTGGAATTGGTTTATTTCTTACGTCTTACGGCATACGGAGATCTATGAACGCAATCATATGATTGTGAAGGTCGATATCCCTTACGTCTTAACGATACGGCTTACGTCTTACGGCTACGGAACTCTGAATCCAGCATTAGACCGTCAAGAAATATCACGTGGGCCGCAGAAGAATAATTGGTCGCGTTTATCAGGACGTAGCGCTACCGCAGCGATCACTAATTTTCTGCTGAACGCGCCGATTAGTTGTGAGCGCTCTGGGATCAGTCGCCATTTTTTCCATCAGATTTAAAATACGCTACGCTACCGATGCATGATGGATTAAACGTCACATACGCCAAATGTCACAAAATGTTTTGGAAAACGAAAACAAAGCATTTTGTTTATTGTTCTCGGTTGACTAATCCCCTCGATTTGTGCCAAAAATGGGTGAAAACAATTTAATATGCATTACTTATGATTTTGATCTAAAAAGCACGTTCAGCAGGACAACCAATCGATGGTACATCGCTCACTGATCAACTTGTCCTGATGAACGCGACCATTATTTGTCCCGAAGCAGTACTACGGCCGACAATAAGATTTAGAGAGGTCTGCGACAGTACTGCCACAGCTTAAGTAAAAACCAGCTCGGACAGTGTAGCGTGCCGCTTTGATCTTTTTACGCTCGGATTTGCGATTCGAAAGAGGGGGAACACTAGAGCGGCGAGCTCCCTCGCCAAAACCAATAGCCGCCTAAGCGCCAGTCAGCCCAGAGATGTATTCAAAAAAAATTTTACGTGACGTAAAAATTATTCGACTGGTGCTAGAACATAATTTAGATACACGTTTTTAAATTGTTGACTTTAAATAAATATGCATTCTCAAAGAAAAACATTTAAAAAACAAATTAATTAATTTATTTCTAGAAATAACAGCAAAATGAAATAGGTACATTGATTACTTATAGTTATTTACGAATGTTTCTAAATTAGGAGCTTTCGGTTTTTGTTTGCTACATTTAAGTTCTTATTAATATTCTTTAAGGTATAATAAATTCTAACTTTTGCGTATAATTTTAACAAAAAATACATTATAGGAAAATTTTGATTGATGGTTGAATTTAATTGTCTGAAATAATTTAACGAATTTACATAATATATTTTCATTTAAGGAAAGTTCTTAAAAATTTTATAAAAAAACTTTTTTAAAAACAAGTTTTTATTTAAATACATTAAAAAAAACAAAATAAACGTTTTCTTTAAAACTTTTATTATGAACTTATAACGTCATTACACAATTTTAATATTATATAAAAGCTTGTCGCGAGATTTGACTGTACAGTTGCACTCATAAAAATCTGGTACGACAACTTTATCTTGTAATTCCTGGTCTAGTGGTCTATCATAACACAAACTTTGAAAATGAGACAGGGTAGACACAGGTTTTAGTTAATTTACATGTTTATCGATGTAGAGAAATCTCGCGACAAGCTTATATCTAATATTAAGTGACAAGTATATATCTAATATTAAAATTGTGTAATGACGTTCTAAGTTCATAATAAAAGTTTTAAAGAAAAAGAGTTTATTTTATTCTTTTTAGTGTATTTAAATAAAAGCTTGTTTTAAAAAAGGTTTTTTATAAAATTTATTTTCTACTTTTAGTTATGCTGGTTTCTCAGTGCCCACACTTAAACTCAATTTTTTTCTTAAATAACTTTCTATGGGTATCCTAATAATATGTATATCGATTTTCATTAAAAAGGAGAACTTAAAAAAACGACAGCTGTCAAATTTGACAGTTCAAATGTGAGACAAATAAAATGAAAACCGACTATGGGGTAGGGGGCATCCAATATATCGATTTTTATCAAAATCGGACAAATATGAAATTATTTGACAGGTGTCACATTTGACAGCTCAAAATTTTTTTCTTTCATTTTAGCCCACGGCCATCATCGATTTTTATCAAAATCGGACAACTTTGAAATTTTTTTGACAGCTGTCAAATTTGACAGCTCAATTTTTTTTCTTTCATTTTAGCCCATGGCCATCCCATATATCAATTTTTATGAAAATCGGTTGACTTTGAAATTTTGACATGTCATTAAACTGTCATTTTTTTCAAGATGGCCGCCCATATATTTTTTTCATATGTATATACCCACAATATACCTATACAGGTTGTTAAATTGTTCATTACTCGCGGCAAGAGTTTTATGGTTGAAATAACCTCGGCCCGCTTGTCGATAGACGACGGGACGGGACGAGTCGGCAGAAAAATCAATAATTCTTCAATAGGCAGTGTTGCCATTCTGTTTCCATTTCATTCTCTATTTCCATTCCATTCTCTATAAGTAACTGTCGAGTTAACAACCTGTATATATATATATATATATAATTTCAGCCCGATCCATTCATAAATAGAATTTTAAAAAATCAAAAACTTCAAAAATGCCGCCATTTTAACAGCTGTCAAAAATTCGGGTCATGTCTTGCAAAAATCGGGACTGAACCTACATGCCAAATTTCAATCTCCTACAATAAAAGGAAGTGGTTTTAATTTAGCTTACAAGATTTGCCCCGAACAAACATACATACATACATAGATAGTTACATTAGCAAGCCTCCAAATAAGTAGTCTTCATCGTGTTGAAAAGCTCTAAAGTGTGAATATATACCGTATGATCGAAAAAAAACGGCGTCCAGTTGGCTGGGAAATGAACATCGATGACATTTCTCATATAAATTTACATATAAAATGACAGCGATCTTCATTCCATAGCCATCGCTGACGCCGTTTTTTCTCGATCATACGGTATATACTTTTGAATTGAACATTAATTTTGAATTGAATTGAAAATTAAACAGGCTATATTTTGAATTATTTCCATAATTATTTGTGCAACCAGCAGCCGCACATCCCGGAAAACCTTTTCCCATTCCATCAATAAAAATAAAATTGAAATAAAAGCACAAATACCTATGTTTAAATATAAGTAAAAAATCGAATTAAAATCTTCCGTAATACGGCCCTACGCGCCACCGGTGGAGGCTATGCATCGACTGAATGAGGCTGACTGTCGGTCGCTTAATTCAGTTAGCGCATCGTCGGAGTAGGGCGTTTTAAATTCGAGCGTGGGAAAAATTGGCGAGTGTCCAAGCTATATTATTCTGTAAGCTGTGGTACTGCTACAGCCTATTTATAACTCTCCTGCTTATGATAATCTGCTACCTATAAGCGATACCAATTAAACTTTTAGTTACGTAATCGAGGGAGTTATTTTAAAATTCAGTGTTTCCAACCATGGACATTCAACGCCGGCGACGGGCTGGCTAACTGGAATTTAAATTTCCCGCTGGGGATTCAGGTGGTAGCTCTGCTGTAAAAAATATAAAGTTGCCACATTTATTTCTTTCTTTCCTGACATTGTCATTCGTTTTGACACTTTAGTTTTGTAAAACAAGTTTTTGGTTTAAATGAATTGTGTTGTGATACTTTAAGCTTAAAGATTTTTGCTAGCAGACCTTGCAGTCGAACATTGTTCTTTTTAGAAATAGCCGTTGCATGAAACTCTGGGAGAAACTGAATGGGAAATCGGTAGTAATTTCCCTTTAGGGTCTGGTCCACTTTAGGTATATCGCCAATCTTGAAGTTATTGATGTAAATTTGATATTAATATGTTCTACAATTAATATTTTAACGTTTTAAGTACGGATCGTCGGCTAAATGTTTGAGATCACTTCACTATTGATACTTAAAATTATTATTTTTAGGTTAAATTTACGATAAGTTTTCAATGTGTGCGATAATTATGATAGATAAGAGCGAATGTGTTTTACTGGTTGTATTATTTTCGTTTAACTTTTAAAGCAACGTTGCCAATGCTAAATCGGATATTGTTTTATTTATACTTTCCTATTAATTTTGAAAAATAGCGGTAGCGATATTAAGCTGATAAGAATAGATATTATACTTTGATCTGTGTTAAAGGTTGAGAAGAGGATCACAATGGTAAAAACGTCTGCCGCAACTGAGTTTTGATTGCATTGGTTTTAACTTTTTTGCGGACGGTGGATCGAACCTCGGTAGACATAAAACTTTTTTATTTTTTTACAGCTGTTTTTACTTTTTTAAACTGTTTTTATTTTTTTTAATTTATTTAGAGTCGTTGGTTACGGCGATAGGCGTATTTTGATTGCGTTGGTTAGTCTTTGGTGTGAGTTTTTTTGTATTTATAGATTGCACGCAAAAACCTGTTCGATTTTGTATAACTCATGCGCATGCGCGGAAGCAAAGGAGCAAAAGTGGAGTGCGGCTCCCTAGCTTCTAGTAAACCAATGCTATTAAAACTCCTTCGTGCAATTTTGTGGTTACATATTTAGCTATTGTCAGCTTTCGTAATAGGTCATTTATTTCAAATCCGTAATTACCCGAAAAAATACAAGAGATGGCAACGTTGCAAATTTTCAAATTGTTAGATTAGGTCTAGAATATATTTGTCTCTCTCATTGCATAGAAGAGAGAAAGAAGGATATATGAAATGTCAAACTTCCATCTTCCATCTGGTCTCAATTTTCTTTGTTAAGAAAAGTGTTTTTCAGTAAAATTTTGGACATTTTTCTATCAAGTGTGGCTTTTAGATAAACTATAATATAATGAAAATATAGTGAAATTATTACTTTAGAAGGCCAAAATAAATAAAAATTCAGTGTTGAAATACCCCACCCAGCACCCCTTTTCACTCCCCAATCCCGTAAAATTCTGGGGTTG